CGCTACCAGAGATATATATATATACATATATATATATTAACAATTAACTGATTACACTGTAGGCTTTCTTCCAGTGGTCATTATTATTGACAATCTGAGTATAATTATACCTCTGCCATCTTGAATGTTATTAAGTTGTTGTTAAGACACTGAGGAGCAGCTGGTGAGCTTGAACCGCTGACCTTGTGGTTCAAATCAACTTTGCAGTCCAACGCATTAACCCACAGCACCAGGACTCCAATATATATAAATATATATATAATTATATTTTTTTTTTTTTGCAACAGCTTTAAAGTTTTTACAGTTTATAGAGGAACAAACCAAGGTTTAGAACATTCAGTGATGTGTCCAAGTTGTAGAACTGCAACCTCTATCCTAAACTCGTGCTCCTGTCTGGGTACTGTTGTAGCAGGTGCAAGATCTTAACGGTAATTAACCAGATTCACCAGTTCCTTTCTGTAGATGAAAATTCAGGTATATATCTCACACTTCTTGGAATTTCTTTGCAGGAATCCAAATTCAGTGTCTTGGACGTGATTATTCTTAACAGCAGAAATGAAATGACTTTCCAGTGCATCTGTTATAGGTGATAAACCACAAGGATAAAATAAAGAGGAATTTGTTTTAGTATTTTTATTACTTGTTGTACAGATGGGAAATTTTCAAGGAGAATCATCTCTTACCTCTTTTGTTTCTGAAAGCTCTTATTTTAAAATGGAATACTGACTGAGTCTCATGACTCATGCCATGAGACACAAAGCCACACAGATGAACCACCCCTGAGGAATTCCTACATCTGACTTAATCTACTCCCAGATGACTGTGAGCAGTTCATCATGGGGAACATTAAGTGTAGCTATGACAGTTATAATGAATTAGCCTTTTTAGCAGGCCCTAGCCTAGTGCTATAAATCAACACCCATTTTAGTTTTACTTCAAGTTTGGGTTGTCAGAAGGACTTTTAGATACAGTTGCTCTACTTAGCTGAAAGTGGTGGTGTGCTGGCATCCTCCCTCGTCCCTATGATGGGGTGGTGGTGGGGAAGGTTGAAAATCAGGTCAACTGATGAGTTTGGTTATCTACCCCATTCTCTTGCCTCCAAACAGACTTGACAGGGATCCAAGAAACTAGACCAACGGGGTTCAGATTCTGGCTCGGTCACGTCCCCACTTGTGTGTTGTTAAGTGCCATTGAGTAGGTTCCAACTGATAGCGACCCTGTATAGGATTTCTGAGGAGCTGCTGGTGAATTTAAGGTCAAGTGCTTATCCTACAGCGCCACACCAGGACTCCCACATGTGTGACCTTGGGCAAATTCACTAACTTCTCATGCCAGTGCCTTCCCCAATGGTTGCTGTCAGTGTGACATAAGACGGTATTAGGTGGTAGTTAGCAGAGTTACCCAGACCATTGACCCAGGGGACACCTCCTTTTCAAATGCTGGTGGGAGCCATTCTTGAACAAATTCTGCCTTTAAGGGGTGCTTGCTGCAATGATGGCTACTCACTGTCTTTCAGGCCCGTGGTCAGACTTGGAGGCAAGCCCAACTCTTCAGAGAGGTACGTCTAGTCTAACGTGGCTGTGAGACCTGTGCAGCAGCTACTACAAGACTTCCAACTCAGATCTCTCTTCAAGAGGATAAACAACGGCCCTTCCCTTTCGTCTTTCCAGTCTTCCTTCCTTGCATATTCATTCTTCTTATTATTATTGTTTGAAAAGGGGTGGGGAAGGTTACTTTTTATTAAATGTGAAATTTTGTCTGAAACAAAACAAAACTATGTCTATGGTACTCCATGAGAGTCACAATACCATTCCATTGTGCCAATATATTAGGGTGAAGGGCAGAAAGGGGTGGCCAGAGCTACCCTCTGTGCTGTTATCATTGGGAGGGGGTGGGGAACGTGCTGTTATTCAGTACAAACCACTGTACAACTGAAGAGACTGAATCTAGGGATGGAAACTAGCTTTCCCAAGGTCACACAGCAAGTCAAGGTTGGAGCAAGAGCTAAAGGAACCCTCAGCTGCCAGCTCAGGGTTCTCGCCTACCATTGAAGTCTTTCTTCCCATTTTTGTGCCCAGAGTTTTATAATGTAGTTGGACAGAATCCTGTAGTAGAACTGCCCCATAGATACAATTTCAAGATTGTAAATCTTTGCAGAAGGAGACTGCCACATCTTTCTCCCGTGAAGCACTTAGGGGATTTGACCTGTTGACCTTTCAGTTAGCTGCTGAAACTACATAAAAAAAGGTTGTTGTTACGTGCCGTCAAGTCGTTTCTGACTCATAACGACCCTGTATAGGGTTTCCAAGGAGCAGCTGGTGAGCTTGCTCAAACTGACCTTTTAGTCTAGCACATTATCCTGTAGCACCACACCAGAACTCCTATAAAGAAGGGTTTTTTGTTTTATTACATGTCATGGAGTCAGTTCCAACTCATAGTGATCCTGTATAGAGTTCCCAAGGAGCGGCTGGTGAGCTTGAACCACCTACCTTGTGGTTCAAACTGACTTTGCAGTCCATCCAACACATTAACGCACAGCACCACTCCTAAATTAAAGTAGAAAGGATAAACTAGGAGGTAACAGAAACTGAAGCCTGGAAAATGAAGCACTCCATCTCTAAAGAATTTTCTTTGTGAAATTTCTCTGTGAAATCTCTTGTTGTTAGTTGCCTTCTGGTCAATTTTGATTCATGTATGCAGAGTAGAACTGCTCCACAGGGTTTTCAAGGTTTTGAGCTTTGGGAAGTAAAATCACCAGACCTGCTTTCTGAGGTGCTTTTGAAATTCCTCACCCTGTGCTTGAATTGCAGATAGACCCAAGAAGGAGAGGCTACTCTTTCACAAATATGGTTCGAGCCTCAGTAAAGTTGAATGGAGGTTCTCATAAATGTAGAAATGTGAGCTAGTATCTTTCCAGGATCATCAATGACATCTTACAATTGCAAAAACAGTGTTGTAGGGATGCCAGCACAGCCTCTGGTCTCCAACCAGTAGAACAGACTCTGATGAGGAGGCTGACGGTGAAAACTGCAGCCCCTCCCATGCATCTCCTCTTTCATGGTGCAAGACATATGTGGAGAAAAAGCTTTAACTGATAAGGAAATAAGAAACACCCCTATTCTTTACCTCAGATATAAGCTATTGCTAGTAGTACAGTTTATATCCTTGAATATTTTCCAGACATATATGTAAAATACATATTTTATGTCTTTTTAAAAAATAAAGCAGCAGTTATGCTCTTACAGGATTCCTGGGATGGCACTGTGGGATGGCACTGTGGGATAAGCACTGAACTGCAAGGTCGGCTTGAACCACAAAGTCAGCTGTTCAAACTCACCAGCTGCTCCCTAGATGCTATACAGGGTCATTATGAGTCGGAACCGACTTAATGACATTTAACAACAACAACAATGCTTTTATAAGTGACCTAATCATGATTTGTTGTTGTTAAGTGCTGTCAAGTCGGTTCTGACCCATAGCAACTTGTATAGGGTTTCCAAGGAGCAGCTGGTGAGCTTGAACCGCCGACCTTGTAGTTCAAACAGCTTTGCAGTCTAGCGCACTAACCCACAGCGCCACATAGTATCCTTTTAAAAGGGTAAATAGCATTCCATTTTGAGTTGTGCCATCATTTACTGAATGAATTCACTATCACCTAGCACTTAATTGGTTTCCAATTTTTCACTACTATAATCACACTTGTAAAAGTTTGCAGACATCTTTATTTCTTTTAGGATAAAAGAAGTAAAATTTTCTGGTCAGTCCTCACGTTCACTCTGGGCTCCTTATTTTCACATCAACCAAAACTTTTCTACTCTGGCTTTCTTCCTTTGGTTCTTCTCTGTAATAAACTATAAAATCAATGTTCTTGAATTTCTCCCCCACTTATTTATTAAAATCTATGAACATAGTCCCCCAAAATGAGACAGGTAAGATAGAAACTTCCAACTCTACAGATGTGTCTGAATAAAGCACATGCTCAGAAGATAGGTCAGCACAAATGGTTAACAAACACATAGACACTCCATAGCTTCTGAAGCTGGTGAATTGGTTCACAAGCTAAATGAGAAAGTATGATGCAATAATACATGGGCCCTCCTGGAGGTGAGACTTTGATCTGATGAGGTGATTTGTGTGGGGAAAGGGGTTGGTTGGGGAGGAGAAGCATATAGCTTGCTCAAGTCCCTTCAGGAGAAGTAGCCACTGTTCCTGAAAGCAGGTAGATTATGATGGAACCTTAGTGGTGAAGGCTGGGTGCCAGTGAAACTGTCTGGATTGTGTGGACATTAAATACAATGGTCAAAGGACAGCTGATTCATATTTGAATTCTAGGGAGAAAGGACAAGTAGGGCTTTCAGATATTTGTTGTTGTTGATGTTAGGTGCCATTGAGTGGGTACAGACTCATAGCGACCCTATGAACAACAGAACAAAACACTGCCAGGTCCTAGGCCAACCTCACAATTGTTGCCACGCTTGAGACCATTGATGCTGCCACTCTGACAATCCATCTCGCTGGGGGTCTTCCTCTTTTTCTCTGACCCTCCCTAATACCTATATACACACTTAATGCTATCTCTCATTGTGACTTGCAGGGCCCAGTAATCCCTGCTACCAAAGAAAAGTTGGGGTCAGGGGGGACAAGAAAAGGAGGAGGGAGAGAAGGATAGAAGAAAGAAAATGAAAGAAGTCACTAAGTGGGATAGTCAGCAAGTCAACAGAAGCAGTACTGCTCAATTATGGAAGGTCCCATGACATCAACAAGCAAAATCAACTCATAGTGAAACTAAAGGACAGAGTAGAACTGCCCCATAGATACAATTCCAAGATAGTAAATCTTTGCAGGAGACTGCCACATCTTTCTCCTGTGGAGTACCTAGGGGGTTAGACCTGTTGATCTTTCAGTTAGCTGCTGATTACTTTAACTACCAGGACTTCCTCCACAACATCAGAGATAATTTAAAGAGGGCAGAACCTCCTCCCTCTCAGTTGAGAAGCTTCATACAGATCAAATCACCTCATTCCCACCATCTACCAAATGTATACCATCTCTGCCTTGAAGGAGGTCTTTGGGTTGGTTCTCTAGAAATGGCCCAGTGACCATACATTGAAGCCCCTGACATTCTGTCGGGAGTCACACTGATGCCCAGAGCAAGGAGGCTCACATCGTGTGTCAGCTCTGCCCCCCAGGTTTCCTGTGTGCTTTGTGGGCTGCCTCTTAACTTCTCTGATCATCAACAACAAGATCCTGACAGCTGCCTTTTGCCTACAAGGCTGTGGAGGACCCAGATGTTTCTGGAGAGGTTCAGAAGCAAAAGTGTCTCATTGTTATTACTCCTTTCAGAGAAGCACCAAATATCTACTGCATTTGGGTATTTGTCATTTTACATCACAAGAGCCACCTGCATCTTTTACACATGACCTTATGCTTTTGATTTTTACTGTGGTGTGTTATACATGGAGTCGTGGTGTGGCCCTGTGGGTTAATGCGCCGGACTGTAAAGTCAGTTTGAACAGCAAGGTTGGCAGTTCAAGCTCACCAGCTGCTCCTCAGAAACCCTACACAGGGCCGCTATGGGTCAGAACCGACTTGACGGTACTTAACAACAACAACATACATACATGGAACCTGAGTGGGGCAATGGTTAAGCACTCAGCTGCTAGCGAAAATGTTGGTGGTTAAATCCATCCAGAAGTTCCATGGGAAAAAGACCTGGAGATCTGCTTTTGTCAAGATTACAGCCAAGGAAGTCCTATGGGGCAGATCTGCTCTGTCATGTTGTTGCTGTGTGTTGGAATTCACTCAATGGAACCCAACAACAAGAAGTCTATGTATATCACAAAACTTTTGCCATTTCAACAGTGTTTACATGTGTAATTAATTCAGTACCACTAATTACATTCATCATATTGTACAATCATCACCTCTATCCTTTTCCAAAACTTTCTCAGTGGGCCTTAAGCAATGATTCCTTCTCACCTTATCTTTCCTAATGTTTTCACTCCCCCACCCCCTTGGGAGACGGAGCTCTGGTAGCGTAGTGGTTACGAATCAGGCTGCGAACTGCAAGATCAGCAGTTCAAAAGTACCAGCTGTTCTGCAGGAGAAAGATGAGGCGTTCTGTTCTGCTCCCGTAAAGATTTACAGCCTCGCAAACCCTGTACAGGGTCGCTGTGTATCAGAACCGACTCCACAGCACACAGCAGCAGCAGCATGAGAAAAACAAGAAGTCTATATGCTTTTCCAACTCATGCAATAGAGTGCTAAAAAGATTTTAAATGTATTCTTTCATTGATATAGTTGATGAAGTGATATACAAATTCTTTCCTATTCAAACACAATTATTCTAAAAACTTTTACGTTTTCATTGTAGCTATTTTAGAAGGATGTGAAAGTTCATAAAAAAGTATTTGAATGAGAAAAATTATACTCTGTTTCTCTGATTCATCAACAGAAAGTATGCATTTTTATATGTCTTCACAGTCTTTTTTGTTTCTTTGTTTGTTTTGCAAATCATGTATATTATTATTGTTAGTTGCTGCTGAGTCGATCTACTCATAGCAACACA